GTCACTCTGTCATTGTCCAGGGAAAGGGAGGGATAAGCAGGTGATGTGAGGAAAACCAGCAGAGCCATTTCCAGCTGTCACACGGGTGAGATGCTGATTAACCTGCAAAGTCTTCCCCTCATCTTCCCTCAGGCCTGAACAAAGCTCTTCCCAGAAAGGACAGGGCCATTAATTGATCCCAGCCTGCTGTGGGACCCTGGCAGCCCAGGGGGGGGTGCATAAGGAATTCCTTATATCCTTCATTCCCTCCAAAGCCAGGCCAAGGATGCACAACCACAGGGACAGCCCAGCACAGGTATCTCCTCCCAGCCCCTTTCCTGGCAGGTTTTTGGCAGTGGTGCCTACAGAGAAGATCCCTCTGGAGACAGGAGCGTGTCCCACAGACCCCAGTCAATGGGACAGTTCAAGTGGTACAAACACAACTGGAAAAATGTGCTGGGCTGCGAGGTTGGGATATTCAAACTCCATCTCCCTAATTACAGGCGATTGCTTTTTGGCAAGAGCTCAACCTGCCAGAGCAGTGAGGTTTTACAAACATTCACACAGGCATTAGATCATTGTTTGAATGAGTTATTGGCAGCCCAAATCTGAAGTAAAAACATGCTTTAAAGAGTTGACGAGGGGGAAGCCGTCGGCTTTCATGTCTCTCTGGACACCCCGAGATCCCCCTCTGGCTTCGTGTCCCTCCCAGTCACGAGGGTGTTTGTGGGGGTGGATGTCATGATTTTGGGGGGGGGTTGGTGGGGTGGTTCTGACACAGAGTTGGCACTCACACAAACCACAGGCCACGGATGGGGCCCTCCCTTTCCCGGGATTGCGGAGTGGAAAAGGCGGGTCTGAAGTTTTCAGGTGCTGTTCGGGGAGGGGAAGGAGATGGAGACTCCAAGCACTCCCAGGTACTCTGGAGACCTGCCCAGACACACAGCTCAGATCAGTGGTGGGATGACCACAAATGACTTCAGCCTTTCCCATGTTAATAAGCACAGCAGTGCTCCTGTCCCCCCAGCGTCACTCAGCGCTTTGAGGAGGGAGATGGCGCCACAGGGGAAAGATCGCTGACAGCAAATGTCCCTGTTGGGAAAACGGATTTAGAGAATCCCAGAATCCCAGAGAGTGGTTTGGGTCAGAAGGGACATTGAAGCTCATCCACGTGCTTCCTAAATTAGATCTCCTGGGAGCAGCCTCGGCTTTCAAGAGGGAGGTGAGCTTGTTAGTGACCAACATCATCCATTTAATGGGAATCAGCAGCTTTTATTGCACCTGGGGGGGCTGTGAAAGGAAAAGAGGGAGGGGACGGCACCAGGAACCTCTCCCTGCCCCAGCAGAGTCCCTTTGCCTGGCATGGAGTCACTCAGGAGCTCTGGAATTGTTGAGTTACTTCATGCTCGGGGAGAAAGAGCCCTGTGTGTTGCTGGCCCAGAAAAACCAGTGGAATCATCTTTTAGGAGCAAAAAAGCTCCTCCTGCAGAGATCCCCTTCCACAACTTGCTTGGAGATCATGGATCCTTGTTGGAAAAGGGTCTCATGAGACGCTGGCCCATGGTTCCATTGACTGAGAGGGTTTGTTGCGTGTGTTCCCAAATTCCCAGAGAGCTCCCGTTCCAGCAATGGGGATACAAAGGACAAGAAAAAATTAATAAAAAAGGAGATTAATCCAAACCGGTGTCTTTTGGTCACAGGGGAAAGTGCAGACACAGAATCTGAACAGAAATAATTGATGGAGGAACATCCCTGACATTTGAGAGCTGCCAGGCACCAACAAAACCTGCCCTGCCAAGGACGTTTCTTAATCAGAACCCAAAATCAAAGATCTTTGATTAAGAAGAGGAAACAAACACAAACTAGACACGAAATTCAGCCAACAGGAACCATCCTGGAAAAAAATTGCCCTCATGTTTCAGAAAGAATGTGGAATTTCTGCTGGTTTAAACTGATTTTCACAACGCAAACCTCATGCTGCTGCAGCAGCAGCTTCAGTAAGATCTGAATCAACAAAAAGCTGAAAGACCTTTCTGAATATTAACCAGTCCCACTCCAGCACGTGGTGAGGGTTTAGTTGTTACTGTCATCCTAAAATATGGCAATTTTGCAGGAGGACTGATGTCCTTCCTAAGGTCATCCACAGATGCAAGAGCCAGAGCCAGGAATAAAAATAACTGGTCCTGGCTTTAAGTATTAAACTCTGCCTGCCCGAAACGAGGAGTAGAATTTATTGTCTCTTCTTGCCCGCACAGCAAAATCCACAAAACTGCAAAGCAAATCAGGAGGGGGAATTTGTGCCCGTGTTCATAATTCAGTTTTTGCCACGGCAAGGCCTCGTAAACCTGCACTCCCGAGCCACTGGCTGCTCCAAACACCACATCCCAGCCAACCCAGAGGCTGTTTGGGTTATAGGATCACCCCAGGACAGCCCAGGTGCTCAGCCCAGCCAGTCTGGAATCTCCCTGGATCAAGGAACGGACACACAAGGGTCGATTGTCAGCGTGAGGCTGAAGGGAACCGCCACTTTCCCAGGGATTTTTCCCTTTGCTGCGTGTTTGGAAGGTCACACAGCTGTAAGTCAGGCTCAGAAGGAGCTGGAAGCCTGGAGGGATCATTGCCCTGATCACACACGTCCTATGGAAGGAAGCTCTCCCGTGGATTGACATCCCATTAATTCCTGCTGGTGGGAGCCCCTTCCTGGGGCTGGAATTCCTTTAGTGCCGGGTGTTTGTCCCGCAGATAACTCCGCTCTCATCCCTGACCCGGTGACTCGTATTTATTTTCTCATTTTATAAGAACCAGGCTCTTTCCTTGCGCTCATTCCTGGTGGGAATGCTGGCGTGGTGCGAGGCTGAGACCGCGCTGCTTCAATCACGGATGCTCGAGCCGGAAAAACTGGGACGTTTTCCAACGCTCCGTCTCTGCCTTCCTGGGGAAAAAAACTCCTCTCCACATGCTCCCAATCGTGCCATCAGCTGGAGAGAGATGGAACTTCACCAGCCCTTTTCCAAAATGCCCTTTGAGGACAGGGAGAGCTTCCAGGGCCCGGGCAAAGCTCGGGGAAGGTCCTGGGGCTCCCCGAAGGGCAGGAGGACGCTGCCAGCTCCTTCCAAAGGTGCCAAGGAAATCTGGAGGGCAGCAAAGCCTGGGAAAGGTTGGGAAAGCCCTCGGAGCTCTTTGAAGGTGGCAGGTCTCTGGGTCCTCACCAGATTTGCTGAGGTTGGTCACTCCAACCTGGCCTTGGAGAGTTCCAGGGATGGGGCAGCCACAGCTTCTCTGGGCAACCTGTGCCAAGGCCTGCCCACCCTCACAGAGAAGGATTCCTTCCCAATATCCCATCTAAACCTGCCCTGGGGCAGTTTGAAGCCGTTCCCACTTGTCCTGTTATCCTGGATAACGCAGGGGACAAAAAAGACCTCAGAAGGGGTTCTGGGGGAATAAGAGGGATCCAAGGGGATCAGAGATGCTGTGATGGCAAATTCATGAGAGCTTCTCCAGGATGGTTCCTGTCGGCTGAATTTCGTGTGTAGTTTGTGTTTGTTTCCTCTTCTTAATCAAAAATCTTTGATTTTGGGTTGTGATTAAGAAATATCCTTGGCAGGGCAGGTTTTGTTGGTGCCTGGCAGCTCTCAAATGTCAGGGATGTTCCTCCATCAATTATTTCTGTGTCTGCAGTTTTCCCTGTGACCAAAAGACACTGTTTATTATTAATTTCCTTCTTTATTAATTTTTTTCTTGTCCTTTGTATCCTGACTGCTGCAACAGGAGCTCTCTGGGAATTTGGGAACACACACAACAAACCTCAGTCCTGCCTGGGACAGGAGCAGGGAGGTCCTGAGGGGGCCAGAGGGACTAAAAGCAGCTCAGAGAAACAAACGCAGGTCTTAGGAGGGAATGTGAGGGAAGAAGGCACTGGGAATGTCAGATCAGGGTTAGATGCTATATCTATTAGGAGGAAGTTGTTGACGGTGAGGGTGGTGAGGGGCTGGGATGGAAATTCCAGAGAGAAGCCGTGGCTGCCCCATCCCTGGAAGTGTCCAAGGCCAGGTTGGAGCAGCCTGGTCTGGTGGAAGGTGCCCCTGCCCGTGTTAGGGGTGGGAATAGATGACCTTAAGGCTCCTTTTCCCCGCAAACCCCTCAGCGTCTCGATCTCCCCCTCACGGCCCCGCCATCGCCTCAGCCCCTGAGGGGCCGCCCCCCGGGGTCTCCGGGCCCCTCGCGCAGGGGCCGCGGGCGGCGGGAAGGGCGCAGCGCCCTCTGCCGGAGGGACGTGTAATGACCGCTGGGCACCAGCAGGGAAGGTGGCCTGTAACGTTCTGTAACGGCCCCGGGGCTCCGCTCTGGGTCGGTAACGGCCCCCGGGGCTCCGGTTTGGGTGTAACGGCCCCATGGTTATCAGAGACCCCACGGCCAGCACGGTGCCCGTACCCAGCCCGTGACCGACATGGCCGCCCATCCCTCAGCGCCGCCGCTTCCTGGGAATAGACCCGCCCCTCCCCGCCGCTCATTGGTGGAAGGGGCCGCCGGCCGGCCCATCCTCGCCTGCTATTGGTTGTCTCAGATGTCTGTCAGCGAGGGCACCGGGGGGGCTGTGAGGGGGCTCGGGGGGCTCTGCCCGTACCTGTGGCCGTGGCGGGGCCGGGCTGGGGAATTCTGGCATGCCGGGCACCACAGGGAGCGTCAAAGGGCAGAAAAGGGACCGATCCCAGGGGCAGCAAAGGCACGGTCCTGGGACAGCAAAGGGAACGTCCCGGGGGAGTGAAGGAGCAGTCCCCGAGGGTAGCATAGGGACCGTCCTGAGGCAGGAAAGGGACCATCATGGGGCAGTAAAAAGGAACCGTCAAGGGACACCAAAAGGACCATCCTGGTATAGCAAAGGGACTGCCCAGGTGCAGAAAAGGGACCATCCTGGGGCAGAAAAGAGACCGGGTGCAGAGAAGGGATTCTCTTGGGGCAGTGAAGGGACCACCCCCAGGAACATCAAAGGGACCATCCCAGGAGCAGCTCAGCCATCACAAACATCCCACAGTCATAACAGGGAAAGAGCCTGCAGTGGGTTTATTGCCCGTTCTGGCAGTCCTGGGTTCCCTCGGTGGGACAGGGGACAGTGGCCCTGCCCTGCCCATCACGGGCCTTCCCAGGGTGTCCCCGAGGCCGGCGGGCTCCAGGCGCTGGGCTCCCCGAAATCCGCCACCTCCTTGGCGGCCACCTGGATGTGGTGGAGGGTCCCGGGTTCCACGTCGGTCAGGATGTGGGATGTCAGCTCGAATGGCCCGATCTGGGGGGACAGTGGGGTCAGGGACAGCCGGTGACACGGCCCTGGGTACAGTTTACCCCGGGTGGGAGCAGGGGGGTGGCAGTACCGTGGTGGGGACAGAGTCCTTGTCCTGGGCGTAGCGCAGGTGATACTTCAGCGGGAAATACTCTGGGAAGGGCCAGGATGCCGGAGGGCTCCACTCCAGCAGCAGCTTCGTGGGCTCCCCAGGGATGGGGGAGACCCTCAGGTCCTCGGGGGGGTCTGGCTTTACTGAGGAACAGGGAAATAAGGAATCAGGGAATCCCAGAGTGGTTTGGGCTGGAAAAGACCTTAAAGCCCATCCAGTTCCACCCTGCCGTGGGCAGGGACACCTTCCACTAGCCCAGGTTGTTCCAACCTGGCCTTGGACACTTCCAGGGATCTAGGAGCAGCCACAGCTTCTCTGCCCAACTTGTGCCAGGGCCTGCCCACCCTCATAGGAAGGAATTCCTTCCCTATATCCCATCTAAATCTCTCTGTGTGTGGATTAAAACCATTCCCCATGTCCTACCATCATCTGCCTGTGTAAAAAGTCTTTTTCCTTCTTTTTTAAACGAAGGGGAAGGTGATGCCTGGGGGATCCCCTCCTTGTGGGCTGAGCTGTGCAATCCAGGCTGCAGAGACGGCCTGAGACCCCCAAATCACTGCACTGACGATCCCACATCCCGAGGAGGGGAGAAACCAGAGGGGAAAGACCCAAAGCTATCTGGATCAGACCTGGGGGCGTGACAGGTGTGGAGGGGACTGCAGTGTCCCCCCCATGGCAGCTGCACTCACTGATGTTCTCCAGGAGGAAGGGCAGGATCGCCGAGGCGGCTCCCAGGGGGTTCACAACCGTCACGTTCACCACGTAGGGGCTGAGGGAAAACACCTGCAGGTCCCCAAAGGAGCAGCTCCGCGGCCCTGTGCGCTCGCACTCGCCCGTGTCCGAGCCGTGCCTGGGGGGCACAGGGGGGTGTGACACACAGGGGGGGGCTCAGCCGGGCTTTGGGGACCCCCCCACTGACCTGTACGTGGCCACGAAGTCGGTGTCAAGCAGCGGGTCGGGGCTCAGGGCCCAGGAGCAGTTCACAGCCTGCGGGTAACTGGTGGCCCAGCACTCGATGGTGGGTGCAGGGGGCGGGTCTGGGGAAGGGGACAAGGGGTCACCCCACTGCCAGTGCCCCCAGGGGAACCCCCACCAGCGCTGGGGGTCACAGCAGGGCTGGGGAGGGTCACTCACAGCCCAGACGCAGGCAGATGGTGGCCCAGGTCTCGCCGGTGCCGGGGTGGTGGCAGCTGTAGTGGCCTTGGTGGGCCAGGCTGGCGTTGGGCAGTGCCAGCCCCGGGGCAGGGGACGTGCGCAGGATGGTGCCCCCACGACGCCACTCAGCAGGACCCCCCGGGCACCGCAGCAGCACCTCCGTGCCCAGGGGGCTGTGCTGGGGGACACAGCGGGCTGGGGAGGGGGTGGACACAGGCAGGGGTCAGGGGGACACGCCATGGTGGGGGTGACACTGGGTCAGGAAGGGTTTTGTGCCTCCCTGGGCCCCACAGTGCCATTCCCAACACCCCAGTGCCCCCAGCCCCCCGACTCTGCCCTTGGTCCCCTCATGTCCCCAGGCCCCCATGTCCCTGTCCCTCCATGCCCCTCTCTTCTGTCCCCCCATGTCCCCCATTTCTCTCCATACTCCCTCCCAGTCCCCCATACCTCTGTCCCCATTGTCCCTGTCCCCAGTGCCGTTGTAGGGGACAGTACAGGCAGGTGCCACAAAAGCCACCACCCAAAGCCACTTCATGTCAGGAGGCTCAGAGGAGCTGCCCAGTGACCTGTGGGGACAGGCAGGACAGTCAAACCCCAGGGCAGGGGACAGCAGGGACATCACAGTTCCCACAGTTTCTTACAGGGTCCTGCAGCCACCCCTGCAGTCCCGTGCCTGGAATCGAGGTTTAGGATCACTCCAGGCCTGGACCTGCACCCTGGGATGGCCCCCCCTCTGGGGACATCCAGCATGGGACCAGCCCTCAGAAAGACCCCCAAAGCCCAGCCCAGGGGCCCAGCTGAGCTCCCTACTGTCCCCAAGCCTGGCCCCACAAAGACCCTGCCCTTGTCACCTCCCACCATGTCCCTGGGCTGGCTCAACCCCGGGAGGGGCATGCCCCACTTTCCTTGGATTTGAGGCTCCTGCAGTGCCCTAAACCAGGCGCTGTGGGGTCACCCCAGACCCCCAACCCCCCCTCCTCTTCCCCCAGCCCTGTGGGGAGCCCAGTCCCCCAAAATTCTCACCACAGCAGGGCCAGGCATCTGGGAGTGGAGTGTCCCCAGCGGAGCGGGAAGCCACGGCCTCATCCCACTTCCTCGGGCAGGAAACACCATCCCCCGTGGGGACCAACACACTTCCCAGTGTTGTTCCACCGGGATCCCCACGCTCGGGGCCCCAGGCTCGTGGCAAAGGGGTTTCAGCTCTATCCAAGAGGGTTCCCACCTTCCCACGCCGCCGCCTCGTCCCCTTCTTCACAGTCACCCTCTGGGGACAGCGGGGCTGGAGATGGTGGCACTGGCACCCTGTCACACACAGCCCTCCCGTGCCCACCCTGGTGCCCCCAGAGAGGAGCCAGAATTGGTGTGACTATAAATACTTTATTGCTGCTGTGCTGGGCTGGGGGGCAGCGGGGTCCTGGGGGGGGTGTGGGGGGTGGGTGCCAGTGACAGGGCAAGCAAAGGGGCACAGAGGGTGCTGTGACAGACCTGTCCCCACCCCGTGTCACCGGCAGTGCCACCACCCCCCATGGCACTGCCGTGCTGGCGGGGGCTCATCTGCTCTGCTCCTGCAGCTGCTGCATCCTCAGGATCTGGCACAGGAGCCTCTGCACGTCCTCATCCATGTGGCCCTGGGGTGGAGGGGACATGGATGGGGACATCAGAGTGGGACATCAGGGAGCCAGCCCCCCCCAGCGGTGTCCCCCGTTGTCCCCCCAGCCCCGTCCCCGTCTCACCTGCACTGCGTAGAGCAGGTGGCTCCGGTACAGCGTCACCACCTTGCTGTGCCGCCTCTCTGTCTCCTGCAGGACAGGGAGGGGGGTTGGCCACGGGGCTGAGGGCTCGTGGGAGCCCAGAACCCCCCCAGGTGACGGCCACCAAACCCCCCAGGGCCCACCTGCAGCTTCTCCTCCAGCGCACGGATCCTGTCCTGGAGCGCTGTGGTGTTGGGGGGTGACTGTGGTGGCCCCCCCGGCTCAGGCAGGGCGTTCAGGGCTTCCTTCAGCCTGAAAACCTCCTTGGAGAGCTCAGTGATCTGCAGAGTGCACAGAGATCATGGGGACCCCACTGGGGTGCAGCCCTGGGCCTGGGAAGGGGAAGGAAAAGCAGGGAAGAGCCAGGAGAGCAGAGGAAATTCTTCCCTGGGAGGGTGGGGAGGCCCTGGCACAGGTTGGGCAGAGAAGCTGTGGCTGCCCCATCCCTGGGAGTGTCCAAGGCCAGGTTGGAGCAACCTGGGACAGGTTACAGACCATTCTGTAACTCCATGTGTGCAGCTCCCAGAGGCAGAGCTGTCTCCAGGAGGTATTTCCTGGGATTAAAAACCCCCGAATCCTCCTCCAAGCACCACCCCTCCTACCTTCCTGTCCCTCTCCCTGACCAGCCGAGCCGCATCCTCGGCGTGGCTGTGGAGCTCTCGCAGCCGCCGCGCCTCGTCCCGCGCCTCCTCCAGCTGCTTCTGCGCCGCCACCAGCCTGTCCTCGGCCGCCTGGCGCTCGCTCTTCATGAACAGCGCCTGGCGCTGCACCCTGAACACCTCCTCGCACGTCCTCTCGTGCCGCCGGCCCAGCTCCTCCAGCCGCCGCCCCAGCGCCGCCGCCTCGTCCCGCAGCGCGGCCGCCGCCGCCTCGTGCTGGGCGCGCGGCACGGCCTCGGCCAGCCGGGCCTCCAGCCGGGCCGCCTCGCGCCCCTTGGCCTCGGCCTCGGCCTCCAGCTGCGCCAGCCGCTCCCGCAGCGCCCGCGCCTGCTCCTCCAGCGCGGCCGTGGCGCGGGCGTGCTCGTCCCGAGGCACCCAGCCCTCGTCCCGCGCCCGCCGCAGCCGCGCCAGGGCCTCCTCGTGCTCCTGCCGCCCCACGGGCCGCGCCGCCAGCTGCTCCCGCAGCCTGCCCAGCTCGGCCTCCCGGCGCGCCAGGGCGTCCCGCAGCTCTGCCAGCTGTGCCGTCTCCTCCTCCTGCCGCGGCGCTCCCGGCGCCTTGGCCTCCAGCTCCCGCCGCAGCGCCTCGGCCTCGGCCTCGGCCCGCCCGCAGCGCTCCAGCAGCGCTTCCT